CGAAGGGGGAGCAGCAGGGAGGGGGTGGAGGAACCTGGACCCCTCAGCTCCAGGAGGGTGCTAGGGCGGGGACCAGGCAGCCTGGCTGGACAGGAGGGCAGCCAGCATCCCCACTGGCGAGAGGGCGCCTGCCCCATGGGAGTCCGGGGCCATCTTTGCCTATAAGGCAAAGCTGAGGGGCATGGCTGGGGGGGCAGCTTTGGCGTCACTGGGTCCTGGCCAGGCACATGGGGGTGGCAAGTTACTCCCGCCAAGCCTCAGACACCCCATCTGTAAAATGAGCTCCACCCTCATCAGCCTGTGAGGCTCCTCACATAAGAAGTGCCTCACAGGAACAAGAAGAGCTCACACGCGAACAGAAAGTGCTCCTTTTTCACAGGATGTGCTCCCCATATGCAGGAAGTGTCCCCCCCATACACAGGCAGTCCACCCCACACACAGCAAGTGCTCCCCATAAGCAGAAGTGTCCCCCCTAGCAGCAGGAAGTCCTCCCTGTACACAAGAAGTGTCCCCCATACACAGAAAGTCCTCCCCATATGCAGGAAGTGTCCTCCATATGCAGCAAGTCCTCCCTGTATACGGGAAGTGTCCCCCATATGCAGTAAGTCCTCCCTGTACACAGGAAGTGTCCCCCATATGCTGGAAGCCCTCCCTGTACACAGGAAGTGTCCTCCATACACAGGAAGTCCTACCCATGCACAGGAAGTGTCCCCCATAGGCAGGAAGTCCTTCCTGTACACAGGAAGTGTCCCCCATACACAGTAAGTGCTCCCCATACAAAGGAAGTGTCCCCCATATGCAGAAACTCTTCCTTCTACACAGGAAGTGTCCCCCACACACAGGAAGTGCTCCCTGTATGAAGTGTCCCCCCATACACAGGAAGTCCTCCGCATACACAGGAAGTGTCCCCCACATGCAGGAAGTACTCCCCACACGCAGGAAGTCCAGTATCTTGAAGGCGCTACCCCCTTCGCCGGTGGCACCTGCCGCATTCCCTAAGGCCTGTGACCCCCCCATCTCCCTCGGATCCTCGAGGCTGAGCAGGCCCCAAGGGAGCCGGTCCCTGGAAGGGGCAGATGTAGTGGGCAGGGCCCAGGATGATGCCCTCCCACCAGAGGCCTTGGGGAACGGGGGTGTGGACTCAGTCCTGCCGGCCTCCGTCACCTCCTCTGAGCGGTGCGGTCACCTCCCTGCCCTGTCTGTCCTCCCTGCAGAGGCCCAAGGCTTTTGTGCCAAACCCCTCCCTCCCCCACTCCCCCCGCTACTCTACCTGGACCCTCCACTGCCTCTTCACCAGGTCTGACACCTCCCCCAGGCTGCCCTCATCTCGGCTCTGGAAGGTGCCAGACTCTCCCCCAGGGCCCTGCAGCGTTGTGACCTGCCCAGGAGCATCCTCCCTCCTCCCAGCAGCCTGGGCTCCTTGTCACCTCCTGTCTAGTTTGGGCAGCAAGTCAGACAATCCAAGGCAAGCCCCTTCCTGGTGGGGGCCCAGCCTTTCCAGCCCATGTGAATGCAGCCCCTGAAAGCAAAGTCCAGTGGACGTGCAGGACCGTGGCCTCTACATGCTGGGCCTCAGGGGCTGGGGACAGTGCACCCACCATACGGCACAGGCGCTGAGTTGTTTGTCAAATGACTCCATCCACCCAACAAGTACTGCTGGGCACAGGTCCACTCCAGATGCCACTCCAGGCACAGGGCGCCTGGGTGCGAGCCCGACAGGCCCTGCCCTCAGGCTGGTGTTCCTGGACACATCAAAGGACCCCCCAAAAGCCCTGCACCCCGGGGAGGCAGGCAGGACACTGTGCAGCCTCCCAGCAGAACTGCCAAGCAGGGGGTTTGCCCCCAGAGCCCCTCCCCTGCCCCATTCCAGGCAGACATCTGGGGCCGCCTGCACTGCAGGCCTGACACGTGTCCAGGAGAAGGGAGGACCCTTGGCCTCAAGAAGCCTCCGGCAAATAGAACCACACAAGAATACGCAGAACGCAGTGGGGCCGCACCTGCACTGAGCAATAGGACGTCCTGGATAGGCGGCAGAGCAGGGAGCATGGCTCACACTTGCAATCCCAGCACTTTGGGAGGCTGAAGCGGATTGCCTGAGCCCAGAAGGCCGAGGTTGAGAGAGCCATGATTGTGCCACCGCACTCAGCCCGGGCAACAGAGTGAGATTCAGATGGGCCTTGAAAGATGTCAGGGGGCAGGGGAGAGGGGTAGGGAAGAACACGAGCAAAGGCATGGAGGTTGAGAAGCCAGAGAGCCTGGAGTGGCCAGGAAATGGGTATGGGGTGGGGAGCAGGAGGAAGACTGGAGGTCAGATTATAAAAGGCCTTAACCCCGGCTCTCCTCTGTGCCCCCACCCTGCTTGCCTTCCTTAGCAGTACCCAAGACTCTGGAATTTTCTCCCCTTCATCCTCTCTTCCTGCCAGGGCCCCTGTTCCCACTAAGCCGTCACCTGGAGTCTATATTTCACAATAAGGTGTGAGTGACGGCTCAGGTATGTCCATCCCCACGCAGGTAGAAGGCAGGTGTGTTGTCTGTCTGCTTTCTGGGCCTACTCCCACTGCCCTGAGGAAGGTTGTTTATGCTGTCCACAAAGAAGGCCGTGAATTCCGAGACTTGGCTCCTCATCCAGGCCTGCTCAGGGCCTTGTCAGAACCCTGCTTGAGCCTTATGTTATCTCTCACGTGTTGCTGTGCTGCATGGATGCCACCCACAGGTTTGCCAGATTTAGCAATATAAACACCCCCAGATGCGCAGTTAAATCTGAATTGCAGAGGACCAACAAACAGTGTTTAGTATAAGCATGTCCCAAATATTGCATGGAGCACACTTATGTTAAAACTTTATTCATCGTTTATCTAAAATTCAAATGTATGGGCGTCTCACATTTAATGCCAGCAGCCCCACCCCATCTCCCAGGGATCCTGACACAGTGAAAGGGGTGATCGCCAGGGTGGGCTTTGCACCTCATAGGAGGCAGTGGGAAGGCGCAGGACGGAGTCGGCCATGGTCTTCTCAGCATGCGGCATGTAGGTGACAGCAGAGCCGAGATGGGGCCCTGCTCTGTGGCTGAGTGGCACCGGCAGATGTTTCCTGGGCTCACCCCCTACAGGTGCACCTGACACCTCGGCCCCGCCCCTCCTGTCAGGCTCTGGACAAGCTGCCTGGGCTGCAGGGGCGGGACACCAGGTGCGGCCCCCCTGCAGGAGCCAAGTCTTAGGAGTCTAGGCTGGAAAAACAACTCCGGGCAAAGAGAGAGGCTTATCGGAGCTTA